ATGTAGTTGGGTGTTTAAATCTCAGGGGGATTTGGACTGAGAGTAATGAATTTACAGGAGTGAACTTGGACAGAGGACAAGAGCTAGAGTTTTATAATTGTTTACTTCATATTTACTATGTCTGAAATACAGAGGGTAAAAATTTCAGGGAAATTGATGGGTTAAAGACTTGAGGGTGGAAGAGGGTGGGGGGACGAGAGCTGGAGCTCAGTAACTGACTTGATTTTATTTACTAACTTTGAAGTATGTCTGCTTTTAATTTTCGGGAAATTGATGGGTTATTTACAAAGATACGAAGGAGAATTAAGGCGGGGACGAGAGCTGGAGCTCGATAACTGACTTGAGTTTATTTACGGTGTCTGAAATACAGAGGGTAAAAATTTCAGGGAAATTGGACTGTTACTAACGATCTTGTATAAAACGAACTAAGGTGGAGGACAAGCGCTGGAGCTCGATAACTGTTTTGATCTTATTTACGGAGCCTGAAATACAGAGGGTAAAAATTTCAGGGAAATTGGACTGATACTAACGAAGATACGAGAGAGAGCTAAGGCGGAGGACAAGCGCTGGAGCTTGGTAACTAAATTACTGTATTGAACTATGTTTGAAATATGATTATTTTAAAATTTTAGAGGGATTGGAATGATAGTATTCATTATACGACAGGGGAGTAAGGTGGGGGAACGTGAGCTAGAACATGCTTACTAACACGAATTATTTGTGTAAAACTGACTTGCTTAATGAAAAGGAGAAAACATACGATGTGGGAAAATAGCAAGAGAGAGAATAATATGAAGAGGAGAGAGAGAGAGAGAGGAGGGACGGTCCAGATATTATGGAGAAGATAAGATAAGATTACCGAGGTGACCTGAAGGCCGTGTCTGGCTGACGTCTAAAGTAAACACAGGTGAGGCGACAGATTGCGAGGTAAGGGGGGAGGGAGGGGGGTGTGATGTACGAGCCCCTGACTTATACAGATAACTTTCTAAATTTACATGAATAACTAAGGCTTACATAGACGATATTTGTAAGTTGAAAACAGGTAAAACATGTCCGTAGAGTTCTCATGGAAACCCTAAAGAGCTACATACGTTACTTGAATTTGTTCCATAAGCCCTTAACAAACTTCTATGTCTTGGAAATTATTTTTCTCATAAGAACTTTAATAAACTCGTATGACATTATTTTTCATTATAAGAATTCCCTAATTCCAAATCTGTGACTCCCCAAATTCACCTGAAAAAAAAAGGGCCTGTGCGTCTTACACCGCACAGGGGTCCTCTGGCCTGAAAAAAAAGGGGCCTGTGCGTCTTACACCGCACAGGGGTCCTCTGGCCTGAAAAAAAAAGGAGCCTGTGCGTCTTACACCCTACTACTTATGCAGGCATCATCGACGGGGAGACGCTGGACCAACATCAGGTCTCCAACATCGTCACCAACATCACGTCACCAACATCACGTCTCCAACATCACGTCTCCAACATCACGTCACCAACATCAGGTCTCCAACATCGCCACCAGCATCGGGTCTCCAACATCAGGCCACCTCGCGAGAGTATAACGGATGCACGATAGAAAACGCGTATATAAACACGAACATTAATGTGTCAAGATTTACGAATGATGGTTCAGAGAAATGACTCTATTATTAACGGTGTCAAATAGTTTTGTCTAATTGGGTTAAAAGTGTAACATTTATGGGGATGTAAAGTCACTAGGCCTAGAAAAAGTGGTCCAAGACAGTGTTCGTAGCTAGATGACTTGGGTCTCTAGCACAAACTTTATCTTGGAATTTATTACTATTTTATTTCATGTATGTATCTATGTGATAAGTCTGTCCTGGTGATGAGTGTCCAGGTTCCCTATTTGTTACCAGTGTATGGGTACATAATTTGTTTTTAATATTTGCATGTCTTTTTATTTCATTAAAATGTTGTAATGTTAAGTAATGTTTCTGTTGTGGTAAGAGGTAGTCTTATTTTCAGTGTGTGCAGGGTGCATGGAGATTGACCCTGGCACTATTGTCTTGTGCGGTATATGGATTGGCCCACAAGTATTCTGTTAACGTACGGTTCTATTGATGAGTCTTCATGTCTATTGTTGTATTTTTACCATGTTTTATAACTTGTATAACTCATACGTTTGGCTGTGGGTCATGAGGTACCCAGCAGATGTTTGGGGTATGCTCACTTAGGTATAATGTTTCCTGTTATTTTTAATTAGTTAGATTTAAATGTTAGAGTAGGAATATTACTTATATATATATTTTTTTCATGTTGCTGTTCATTTTTTTTTGTATGTTTTGTTCTTTAGACCTTCTGAGGAAGGCTTGCTAGCCTGCCTAGTGTGCAGGCAGGATATGTCATTGTTTCATAGTATTCGTTATTGCCATGTATTGTCACTCAGGGTTGTATTATGTAGCCTTGTGTTATTCCTTGTATTTTGACATTATATTATCTTGAGTTACTTGTAATTTTCCTGTTCCATTAGGAATTTTTTTTTTTTTTTTTATGTCATGCTAGTTTTAAGGCGATTTTTTGTTTTGGCCTTCCAGCCTTCTGAGGGAGCCTGGCTGGACTGCCTTGGTGCAGTCGGGATTTGCATTTTTTTTTTTCATTGATATACCTTATTGTCATATTAGGATATCAGAATTGTATCATGTGTGACGGTATCATTGCTGGTTCTTTTGCCAGGATTCTTTTTGTACTTTTGTGTCTCATTATACATTTATGTTTTGTTCTTACTGCAGTATAACTGAATAATGTACTTTGCTTCATGTTAATTTAGTTAGCTTACTTTTATCATTATGTCACTGGCAATTTTTTTTTCTTTTAGGGTTAGTTGTGGTATTTTGGATGAGTTAGGATAAGACAAAATTGGGCTTAATTATCATACACCCGATTTTGTCTTAACTCCGGGGAAAGGGAGCTGTAACACCCAGGACCTCCCCCCCCCCTTAGAGTTCACACCCAGGGAAGCCTTCTCCAAAAGGTCAGCCCAGATGACCTCCGGTTTATCTTGTATATTGATTAAAAATTCCTGGGTTAGTCTTAGTCAGCATAGTTTCAAGTATGTAATATTTCATGCAAGGAAATTAGACTCCAGATTCTTATGTGTAAACATCCCTGGATCTCCCCCTTTTGGCCAGGTCAGAGGTCAGCCACACACGTAATTAATAACTCCTCTCTTGAAGAGTGTATGGTGAATGTCAAACAAGCTTTTTGAAATATTTCTTGAGTGTTTGTACACTTTTGGTGGGTAGCAACAGCAGATCTCCCCCTCCCCCTGTGGGGGTTGTATATAGAGGTCCTGGAGGGACTTAGAAAAGTCAGAGTGCGGTACACCGGGATCGAGAGCGGGGCTGTGAAGAACATCTCAGCCAGGGAGAGACAGATAGCTTAAGGTAATGTGTGTGGTCTCTGAGTTTTTGTTCCATGTCCAAATTTCTTAACTTTTTGCCAGTGTTAGAGTAGCATTTATAAGTGGTGATTGACATAATTTTGGTCTCAATAAACTCGTTAAATTTCCCGTCTTTGTCAATTGTTGAATCCTCTTAGCCTTTTGGATATAGTGGCTGACAACCGCTTACATAATTAATGACAGTCATAGAAAGTACTCTCCACGTCAAGCAATGTTTCTTGCCTCGTTGCTTGATATAGTTTCAATGGTCAAAGGCAGATGGTGGCAGCGTATTTCATCCTGTGTTAGCATCTCCTTGTTGGCAGTGTACTTTGTAGTCCCGGTGTAATCATCATATGTCAGCCCATAAGTGTTACCAAGTGCAACCAATGGGGAAGTGTTACTCAGGATAGTTTAGTGTTCCATTATAGTGGTGTTCCATTATAGTGGTACATTTTTAGGGTGGCAGTACAATAGAGCAGTGTTACATTCTACCCACTTCAAGACTCCGCACCAATATAGAAGCATCAAGAAGTATGGGCTAATAGGCCCTTTGCAGTTACTTCCATTCTTCCCTTCAACTTGCAAAATATTATACCCATTGTTTCGTGTTCTGTCTTGTGTTGAAAGTTTGTTTTCACCTCATCTAAAAACTGTTGTAACATATCACCTCACCCAAATGCAAGTATAAAATCAAAGCTGTTTAAACTCTGTTTAGTGTTTGCAGGTTATAGTTGTGTGTGTGTAAACTAAAGTCTTTGAAAATGTAATAAGTTATTACGAAACGCGTTGAAGTGTCGCGTCAGACTAGAAATAAAAATGAATTTTGGAGAATTGATTTTTCAGTTACCATCAACAGTGAAAAGAAATATAAGAAACATAGAGAAAATTCGTGTTAGAATTATTAATCTTACTTTTTCGGTAATATATATATATATATATATATATATATATATATATATATATATATATATATATATATATATATATATATATATATATATATATATATATATATATATATATATATATATATATCTGAAAACTCCACTCCCCAAAGTGACTCAAACCCATACTGCCAGGAGCACTATGTAACTGGTGTACAGGAGACCTTAACCACTCGACCATCACGACCGTTTTGATTTGATAAAATAACTATGAACAAGATTACCATCAGAACGCCGTCGGGATGATGATATATATGTGTGTATATGTATGTATGTATATATATATATATATATATATATATATATATATATATATATATATATATATATATATATATATATATATATATATATATATATATATATATATATATATATATATATATATATTCTTTAATTTACACACACAACTGTAACCTGTAAACACGCAAAATACATTGATACTTATACTCGCATTTGGGTGAGGTGATATGGTACAAAAATTTCGTGTGATGTGATTGACATATGCACATGATAGAACACGAACCAATGGGTATAAAAACATAAGAATGGAAGTAACTGCAGAAGGCATGTTACAGATAGCATCCAATAGCATCAACACTTCCTCTTGATGCTTCTATATATACAAGTGTTGTATTGGTTGACTCTTCAGAGGTTGCATGGCGTTTCACCTTTCTTTTTTTGATGTCTTCAACAAAACCATTAGAGAAGCCGTTGTTGACTAGGGCCTGCCTTACCCTACAGAGTTCTTCGTCGACCTGAGAGAGAGTCCCAGCTTGGTGCCAGGCCCCAGCACGTGACAGAGTAGTAAGGGAGAGGCCGTGACAATGACCACCACAATGTCTTACCAACCAAGCAAGTAGACGTTGCTCCTGGACATCGTTCGAGGCTAAAGTTCGCTCTAAGGGAAGACTGGTAAATGGAGTGATTATATCCTCCTGTTGCCTGGCCAGTTGGCTGTGAGCGTCTCACAGATGCCGTCGCGGTGGTAGCGTGAACTATAGTGTCAACACCACACCACAGTTCGCCACAGTGACCTCCGTGACCTCACTGTGGTTGGCAGCTGCCCTCACCACCTCCAGGCCGCTCACCACCTCCCCGAAGACACAGGGCCACAGTGGCCCTCCCTCAGCACAGTCCCTGGTGATGATGACGAACTGGGCGCTGCGGGCAGGCCACAGCCCCCAGCGGGAGAAGACAGCCCCCGCGGCGCCTGAGGACTCGTACTCCGCCTTCAGATCAGGCAGCAGTGAGGCTCCGCCCTCGCCATCATTGCTCTCGTAGTCTCCGCCCACCACCCACTCCTCTGGCTGCCCCTTGTTCCACACCCACAGTAGTTTAGTGCCTGTGTAGCTGTGACCCAATTCGCCGGTACATAACAGCATGAACTGTCTAGCCAGCCCAGTGTCAAGGGTCAGCTGGATGGTGACCCGCCCTCGTGTTGACCCCGCCCACTTGAGGTCAAGGAACGCCAGGGTGGAGGACGAGGCCTCCACAACGTCCTCATACTGAAAAAATATATATTAGGATAATTACAGAAGTTAATTATTAAGACAACTAAAGACGAATACAAGTGTGTTAATCACTTAAGAGAGACTCATAGGTGTAATGCAGTAACCTCAGGGTGTGGGCGTGTGTGGGTGTGGGCGTGTGTGGGTGTGGGCGCACCTTGAGGGTGTGGGCGCACCTTGAGGGTGTGGGCGTGTGTGGGTGTGGACGTATGTGGGTGTGGGCGTGTGTGGGTGTGGGCGCACCTTGAGGGTGTGGGTGTGGGCGCACCTTGAGGGTGTGGGCGTGTGTGGGTGTGGGCGTACCTTGAGAGTGTGGGCGTGTGTGGGTGGAGGCTGAGGCAGGAGTGGGTGGAGGCAGAGCTGACCATCTTGTAATGTTATCCTGGCAGAGCGGCGGCCATCTTGGTCTTCCTGGACGGCCAACACCAGTCCCGTCTCTACCAGCCTCCTGACGGGCGCCCTCATCCTGCGGAGGTCCTCAACCTGTGGGCAGTGTAACCCCCATTATCTCCTGTGGTCAGTGTTAGCCCCATTATCACCTGTGGGCAGTGTTAGCACCAATATCACCTGTGGGACAGTGTCAGCCCCATTATCTCCTGTAGACAGTGTCAGCCCCATTATCACCTGTGGGACAGTGTCAGCCCCATTATCTCCTGTAGACAGTGTCAGCCCCATTATCACCTGTGGGACAGTGTCAGCCCCATTATCTCCTGTAGACAGTGTCAGCCCCATTATCACCTGTGGGACAGTGTCAGCCCCATTATCACCTGTGGGCAGTGTTAGCACCAATATCACCTGTGGGCAGTGTAACCCCCATTATCACCTGTGGGACAGTGTCAGCCCCATTATCACCTGTGAGACAGTGCCATCCCCATTATCACATGTGGACAGTGTCAGCCCCATTATCACCTGTGGGCAGTGTCAGCCCCATTATCACCTGTGGACAGTGTCAGCCCCATTATCACCTGTGGACAGTGTCAGCCCCATTATCACCTGTGGGCAGTGTCAGCCCCATTATCACCTGTGGGACAGTGTCAGCCCCATTATCACCTGTGGGACAGTGCCATCCCCATTATCACATGTGGACAGTGTCAACCCCATTATCACCTGTGGGCAGTGTCAGCCCCATTATCACCTGTGGACAGTGTCAGCCCCATTATCACCTGAGGACAGTGTCAGTCCCATTATCACCTGTGGGCAGTGTCAGCCCCATTATCACCTGTGGGCAGTGTCAGCCCCATTATCACCTGTGGACAGTGTCAGCCCCATTATCACCTGTGGACAGTGTCGCCCCCATTATCACCTGTGGGCAGTGTCAGTCCCATTATCACCTGTGGACAGTATCTCCCCCATTATCACCTGTGGGCAGTGTCAGCCCCATTATCACCTGTGGACATTGTCAGCCCCATTATCACCTGTGGACAGTGTCAACCCCATTATCACCTGTGGACAGTGTCAAACCCCTTGTCACCTGCAGGCAGTGTCAACCCCATTATCACCTGTGGACAGTGTCAAACCCCTTGTCACCTGCAGGCAGTGTCAACCCCATTATCACCTGTGGACAGTGTCAACCCCAATTATCACCTGTGGACAGTGTCAGCCCCATTATCACCTGTGGGCAGTGTCAGTCCCATTATCACCTGTGGGCACTGTCACCCCATTATTCAAACCCATCTTATTTGCTGACGACACAACTTTCATTTTCTCCAGTCCTGACCCTCTTGCTCTGAATGTCACTGTAAATACTGAACTAAATAAAGACCATCTTTGGCTAACTGCTAACAAACTTACCCTCATTATTGACAAAACTTTCTATGTTTTGTTTGGTAATAAATTCTCAAATGAAAATAATCTAAGAATAAACAAGATACAAATCAGTAGTAAAGTTGATGCTAAATTCCTTGGTGTCCTCATCGATAACAAGCTGAATTTCCAGGGACACATTCTAAATATTGCAAAAAAAGTTTCTAAAACAGTTAGCATTCTTTCTAAGATCAGATATTATGTACCTCGCCCTGCCCTGGTGACGCTCTATTACTCTCTCATCTATCCTTATCTCAACTATGGTATTTGTGCTTGGGGTTCTACTACCCAAAATCATTTACGTCCTCTAATTACTCAACACAGAGCTGCTATTAGAACAATATCTAACTCTGGCCCCAGACAGCACTCGGTACCCTTACTCAAATCTTTGAATATGTTAGATATTAAGTCACTGCACATCCTCTCATGTGTTCTCTATATATTTAAAACTCTGAATTGTAATGTCAATCCTGACCTTAAATGCTTCTTAGAAGGTTGTAACAAAACCCATGGGCCAGGTCACCAGAAACAAATACGTATTTGATATTCCAAGAGTACGACTTAATCAGACTAGAAATGCTCTACAAATCAAAGGACCCAGAATGTGGAATGACCTTCCCAATCATGTCAAAGGCTGTACCTCTCTCAACCAGTTTAAGATGAAAACTAAGTACTACCTAATTAACTCCATGTAGCCTATCTTACCCCTAAATGTCAACCCATGTCTTACTATTTTTAAACAATGCTGTTTGTTGACCAACTTGTATATTGGCTATTTTCTACCATGTTCCCCCCTTTTATCTTTATTTTTCTTTCAACGCAATTTATACTTTAAATTCAATTACTATTAAGTTTTAGTCTAAGTGATTTTTCCCCCTCTGACCTTGCCTGAAACGCTGTGAGTACTAGTGGCTTTAGGTATTGTATGTACTAGCTCTATCTATATATCCAACATTATGTTTGTAACTAATCTTCTACGCGTGTACTTTTACCTGAATAAACGTTTGATTTGATTTGATTATCACCTGTGGACAGTGTCAGTCCCATTATCACCTGTGGGCAGTGCCAACCCCATTATCACCTGTGGGCAGGGTCAGCCCCATTATCACCTGTGGCCAGTGTCATCCCCATTATCACCTGTGGACAGTATCAGCCCCATTATCACCTGAGGGCAGTGTTAGCCCCAGTATCACCTGCGGACAGTATCAGCCCCATTATCACCTGTGGACAGTATCAGCCCCATTATCACCTGTGGACAGTATCAGCCCCATTATCACCTGTGGACAGTGTCAGCCCCATTATCACCTGTGGACAGTATCAGCCCCATTATCACCTGTGGACAGTATCAGCCCCATTATCACCTGTGGACAGTATCAGCCCCATTATCACCTGTGGACAGTGTCGAAAAACCCGACACCATGTACTAATATTTAATACAATAGGCAAATAATATTGCTTGGTTGTATAAACAAGTTTACTCATAGAAAATGTAGTCTATAGTGGGATTTTTCCGTCAGTAGAAAACGGGATATCATTGCCACATCGCTATTAATTTCACCAGTTATTCTGCTGGGAATTATTCTTAATACAGCAGTCTTTGGACTCCTAACATCATAAAACATCTCACTTGAATGAGCTTAATTATTAGTACCAAAATAGAGTAAATGTAACCTTTCTATCAATTATTGACATGTGGACAAGAGATAGCCAGGTTGTCAGTGGAAGGGAGGCATCAGTGGTCAGCCATTGTTTATCAACAAGGTCGCTGGAGGAAGTCTTGCTCCTATAATTCCCTTGAACAACGGAGTTACAGGACTAATAGTGATCCTGTTATCAACTCCAATCACGTCTACTATAAGGGAAGTGTATTACCGAAACCCTTATTATCTCTAAAGTCCTGGCCAGTTATGTTAGGTATATGTAGGGCGAACCGGTTAGCACAAACAGCAGCGACCAACACACAGTGAGTAATATTCTCATCACTTCATTAATATAACAATATTTGCTCTGATATAACTGTCATATATATTTATAGGATTCCTGCCATTATTACAAGTGCCCTTAGACAGGAACAGTTGAAGAGGGCACAGAACGGTTACTTGGTACACCAGCACATGGTGTTGATACCAGCCTCAACAATAAGGATTATTTGGTACCATCATCCTTGTTTATACCTGGTGGACCAGGCCGACCATACAATACCATCATCCTTGTTTATACCTGGTGGACCAGGCCGACCATACAATACCATCATCCTTGTTTATACCTGGGGGACCAGGCCGACCATACAATACCATCATCCTTGTTTATACCTGGTGGACCAGGCCGACCATACAATACCATCATCCTTGTTTATACCTGGTGGACCAGGCCGACCATACAATACCATCATCCTTGTTTATACCTGGTGGACCAGGCCGACCATACAATAATTACCTCCCCCCCCCCTCCTAATGTGTAAAGGAGTCAATTTGTGAGAATTTGAAGAAATAAAGTCTACTTAAATTATCACACAATTTGCTATCGAAATATATATAAAATATAAATTCTATATAAATTTATAAAAACTAAGTAAATATATATCTCACAAGTCGGTTCCCCACAGACATTGTCAGCTCCATTATCATCTGTGAGCAGTGTCAGCCCCATTATCACCTGTGGACAGTATCAGCCCCATTATTACCTGTGGGCAGTGTCCGCCCCATTATCACCTGTGGACTTGTTTATACCTGGGGGACCAGGCCGACCATACAATACCATCATCCTTGTTTATACCTGGGGGACCAGGCCGACCATACAATACCATCATCCTTGTTTATACCTGGTGGACCAGGCCGACCATACAATACCATCATCCTTGTTTATACCTGGGGGACCAGGCCGACCATACCCATTATACCCATCATCCTTGTTTATACCTGGGGGACCAGGCCGACCATTATTACAATAGCCCCCATCACTTGTGGACTTGTTTATACCTGGGGGACCAGGCCGACCATTATACAATACCATTATCCTTGTTTATACACCTTAGGCCGACCATACAATACCATCATCCTTGTTTATACCTGGGGGACCAGGCCGACCATACAATACCATCATCCTTGTTTATACCTGGTGGAACAGGCCGACCATACAATAAGATAAGGCCTCCCTATTTTAATTACTAATAAATATAGTCTAATACTGTAGTGAATGTTAGTCAATCAATTTTGATTGACTACATATATAAATTTAATATTACCCCCCCCCCCCCCCGCCTCCTAATGTGTAAAGGAGTCAATTTGTGAGAATTTGAAGAAATAAAGTCTACTTAAATTATCACACAATTTGCTATCGAAATATATATAAAATATAAATTCTATATAAATTTATAAAAATTAAGTAAATATATATCCCACAAGTCAGTTCCCCACAAACGTTGTCAGCTCCATTATCATCTGTGGGCAGTGTCATCCCCATTATCACCTGTGGACAGTATCAGCCCCATTATCACGTGCGGACAATGTCAGCCCCATTATCACCTGTTGACAGTATCAGCCCCATAATCGCGTGCGGACAATGTCAGCCCCATTATCACCTGTTGACAGTATCAGCCCCATTATCACCTGTGGACAGTGTCCGCCCCATTATCACTTGTGGGCAGCGTCAGACCCATTATCACCTGTGGGCAGTGTCAAACCCCTTTTTCATCTGTGGGCAGTGTCAGCCCCATTATCACCTGTGGGCAGTGTCAGTCCCATTATCACCTGTGGGCAGTGTCAGCCCCATTATCACCTGTGGGCAGTGTCAGCCCCATTATCACCTGTGGGCAGTGTCAGCCCCATTATCACCTGTGGGCAGTGTCAGCCCCATTATCACCTGTGGACAGTGTCAGTCCCATTATCACCTGTGGGAATTGTCAGCCCCATTATCACCTGTGGACAGTGTCAGCCCCATTATTACCTGTGGGCGGTGTCAGTCCCATTATCACCTGTGGACAGTGTCAGCCCCATTATTACCTGTAGGCAGTGTCAGGCCCATTATTACCTGTGGGCAGTGTCAGACCCATTATCACCTGTGGGCAGTGTCAGCCCCATTATTACCTGTGGGCAGTGTCAGCCCCATTATCACCTGTGGACAGTGTTAGCCCCATTATCACCTGTGGGCAGTGTCAGACCCATTATCACCTGTGGGCAGTGTCAGACCCATTATCACCTGTGGGCAGTGTCAGACCCATTATCACCTGTGGGCAGTGTCAGCCCCATTATTACCTGTAGGCAGTGTCAGACCCATTATCACCTGTGGACAGTGTTAGCCCCATTATCACCTGTGGACAGTGTCAGTCCCATTATCACCTGTGGGCAGTGTCAGACCCATTATCACCTGTTGACAGTTTTAGCTCCATTATCACCTGTGGGCAGTGTCAGACCCATTATCACCTGTGGACTGTGTCAGACCCATTATCACCTGTGGACAGTGCCAGCCCCATTATCACCTGTGGGCAGTGTTAGCCCCATTATCACCTGTTGGCCGTGTCAGCCCCATTATCACCTGTGGGCAATGTCAGCCCCATTATCACCTGTTGGCAGTCTCAGCCCCATTATCACCTGTGGGCAATGTCAGCCCCATTATCACCTGTGGGCAGTGTCAGCCCCATTATCACCTACGGGCAGTTGGAACTCAATTATTGTATGTAGAATACCTGTCATAAACTTACTGTTAACTGGGAGATTCCTCCAGTAATCTTTTCGACTTTCTCCATGATGGTGGAGTCTGAGTCTCCCAGGTGGACGGGAACAGCTGTAATGACACCTGTCTCTGTGGTCATCATCTCCAGGGCCTCCCTGATGGTCTCCTGCACCTGTCAATACCAACACAATGAGGATAAATAATTTAAAAACATAAGAATACATGAAACGAAAAAAAAGCTATTACCCCATGAGGCAGCTGCTATTTATATCCACCTAAACTCATTTATATGTATGTCTATCCTTCGACTAAAACAATGCAGTAACCCAATGTTCATTACGATTCCCGGTATGATTTGTTCAACAAATAAATAAACTGGTCTTCAAACCAGTATTTAACGAGGTCTTTCTTGAGTCTAAACGTATGAAATTAAATATATATATATATTTTGTGTTGATATATTTACTTATTTAGATCCTGTTTGAAATACACTTTCATCAATATTTAGAATCATATTCCCTCTTACTTTGTTTTCTAGCGAATGTAACTTTGATTTTTTTTTTAATCTGTTCGTGTATGTGGTATCTGATTCCTGATGTTAACTTTGTCAACTTTCTCTGGACGCGTTCAAGTGAATATATGTTCTTTGTGTAATATAGTCACCAAAACTGAACTATGTGAACTAAATGGCGCCTATCAAGAGCAAGATTCGCAAACAACTGCCAGGTGTTATCAAGCAGTGTTACACTAGGCATGGAACAAACAACTGCCAGGTGTTATGAAGCAGTGTTACACTAGGCATGGAACAAACAACTGCCAGGTGTTATGAAGCAGTGCTACACTAGGCATGGAACAAACAACTGCCAGGTGTTATATGTTACAAGCATGGAACAAACAACTGCCGGGTGTTATCAAGCAGTGTTACACTAGGCATGGAACAAACAACTGCCAGGTGTTATCAAGCAGTGTTACACTAGGCATGGAACAAACAACTGCCAGGTGTTATCAAGCAGTGCTACACTAGGCATGGAACAAACAACTGCCAGGTGTTATCAAGCAGTGTTACACTAGGCATGGAACAAACAACTGCCGGGTGTTATCAAGCAGTGTTACACTAGGCATGGAACAAACAACTGCCGGGTGTTATCAAGCAGTGTTACACTAGGCATGGAACAAACAACTGCCGGGTGTTATCAAGCAGTGTTACACTAGGCATGGAACAAACAACTGCCAGGTGTTATCAAGCAGTGTTACACTAGGCATGGAACAAACAACTGCCGGGTGTTATCAAGCAGTGTTACACTAGGCATGGAACAAACAACTGCCAGGTGTTATCAAGCAGTGTTACACTAGGCATGGAACAAACAACTGCCAGGTGTTATCAAGCAGTGCTACACTAGGCATGGAACAAACAACTGCCAGGTGTTATCAAGCAGTGTTACACTAGGCATGGAACAAACAACTGCCAGGTGTTATCAAGCAGTGTTACACTAGGCATGGAACAAACAACTGCCAGGTGTTATCAAGCAGTGTTACACTAGGCATGGAACAAACAACTCCCGGGTGTTATGAAGCAGTGCTACACTAGGCATGGAACAAACAACTGCCGGGTGTTATGAACAAACAACTCCCGGGTGTTATCAAGCAGTGCTACACTAGGAATGGAACGATCATTGTGAAGAAGGAAAGAACAGCAAAAAGATATTAAATAAAGTGTGACCAATAACTACTGGCCTTCTTTACTGAATGTGGTTTATCTGAAAATCAGAATCCGCCCAAAGCCAATACTGAAAGTAACTCATGAGCGACTGAGCCTAACCCAACCTTGTCCTAGGTGCTGTCATTCGCTCTACTGGGTAAATAATGTTCTCTCATCCATAAAAGTTCCTAACTAATCAGTAAAGTCTCCTTGTACTTATGTAAGCATCTACCTCAGTATCATAGTAAAATCTTACTCATATGTATAATCTTACCCTGTTATCTTTAAATTTAATTGTAATTTGATTTATACCCTGAAAACACAAACCGAAACTCTCTATTTTCCGCTTGTTACAACTTGTAATAAAGTTCTCATAAAGGATATCAGGGAAGGTAATAATACCTTCCCTGATATCCTTAAAAAAGCACGAGTAACGCCAGTTCATAAAGGAGGTAATCCGGCAGACATAAACAATTATAGACTAATATCAAACCTACCCATATTAAAAAAAATATTTGAATAAATTATCTACAAACAGCTCTACTCCTATCTCGTAAAATTCGACATACTCAGCCCCTGTCAGTTTGGCTTTCGCTCTCAAAAGAGTACCAACGATGCAGTTATTAGTCTCCTTGATATAATTTACTCAGCCCTTGACAAAAATGAGTTTCCGATTGAACTCTTCATAGACCTTTGAGAAAGGCCTTTGATACTGTTAATCACAACTATCTCTTACTTAAACTCCATCATTATGGAATCCGAGGCCTTGCCCTGAACTATATCTGATTCTATCTTAGTGATAGACTCCAATGTGTAACCATCAATGAGATAACCTCTCCCACTCTACCATTAACCGTAGGGAAGCCACAAGCAGCATCCCAGGACCTCTCTTATTTCTTATATACATCAATGATCTGCCTAATGTCTCTAACATTCTTAAACCTAAATTTTTGCTGATGATACTACTCTCAACTACTCAGACCCAAACCCACACACACATTATATAATGTTGTGAATAATAAATTTAAAAAAGTTCCCTTATGGATGTCAACCAACAAACTCACACTAAACATTGAAAAGAACCACTACATCTTATTTGGAAGCAAATCAACAAATGCAATTCAGCTTCAGATAGGAAATGTTAACATCAGTAATAAAAAGGATGGAAAGTTTCTTGGCCTATACTTAGACAAGAGACTCAACTTCAGTACCCACATTCAACACATAACTAAGAAAGTCTCCAAAACAGTTGGTATACTCTCAAAAATCAGATATTATGTTCCTAACTCTGCTCTCTTCTCACTATATTATGCACTAATTAATCCCTATCTTAATTATGGTATCTGTGCATGGGGTTCAACCACTGCAAGCCACCTCAAGTCAATCATCACCCAGCAAAAATCTGCTATCAGAACAATAACAAACTCTGTTTTCAGACAACACTCAGCCCCCTTTGTTTATTTTCCTAAATATGTTATACATAAACTGACTCCACACATTATCTTGTGGCAACTACATTTACAAAACCCTGTTCTTAAATGCAAACCCTTCTGTGATTCTCTTCCTGGACAGATGTAATAGGACTCATATTCACCATACCAGAAATAAATATCTCTTTGATATCCCCAGAGTTAAACTTAATCTGTGTAAACACTCTATGCAAATAAAGGGGCCTAGTCTATGGAAGTCACTCCTTAATGAATTGAAAAGCTGTCCAACTTTTGCGTCATTCAAAAACAAAAACAAAAAGTACCTAATTTCATCTTCATAGTTTCCTACCTAGTGCTTTAAACTCGCACTGTATCTAATGCTATCCGGTTCCCCTAAGCCAAACAACTTTACCATTGTGATCATTGCTGTCATCTTATATGTGCTCAGGATGCCTTATTGTGCCTATTAATTTTTGTCAATTTATCAATCAAGCTGTCAATGCTATCAATCAGAGCTATCGATGTTCTTTAATATACCTACCACTCTCTCTCTTATTTTTTTTTCTTTCAATGTACCTGTTAACATTTTATAAATTTTGCTAAAATTTACTTACTTAATATTATTTGTTAGATTAAGGACCTGCCTTATTTATTTATTTATATATATAAATAAATTAATAAATAAATAAATAAATAAATAAATAAAAATAAATAAATAAATAAATAAGATATTGTTGAAGAATGACATTTGATCCCCTTATTATTGATGCTTGTAGAAATATATCCACAGCTTGCTTTTTCCCTTCATATATGTATTGGTTTTATGGCTTCTGCTCCCTATTAACCATGATTCCCAGATCTTCCTTACATTCACACCTCCCAATTTCAACATCGTCCCGCTGATATCTGAGAATCCATCATTATCACCTGAGCTCAGAACCCTACATTATTCAGCATTGATGTGAACGCGCCAATCGGTCGTTCATTCTGCAAACCTGTCTTGGAGCCCCCTTGTACCTATTTTGTGTCTTCTAAATATATTTCATGTTCAATTTTCGTGTCGTCGGTATATTTTCACATGTTGTGTATGGTGGGGGGGGGGGGTGTTTGTGTGTGTGTTTGTTTGTGTGTGTGTTTGTGTGTATTCACTTAGTTGTGCTTACGGGGGATGAGCTCTACTCTTTCGGCCGGCCTCTCATCTGTCAATCAACTGTTACTACTATTTTTTTTCTCCACACCACACACACACCCTAGGAAGCAGCCCGTGACAGCTGACTAACTCCCAGGTACCAATTTACTGCTTGGTAACAGGGGCATAGGATGGTTATCTTGAGGTTATCTTGAGATGATTTCGGGGCTTTAGTGTCCCCGCGGCCCGGTCCTCGACCAGGCCTCCACCCCCAAGAAGCAGCCCGTGACAGCTGACTAACACCTAGGTACCTAATTTACTGCTAGGTAACAGGGGCATAGGGTGAAAGAAACTCTGCCCATTGTTTCTCGCCGGCGCCTGGGATCGAACCCGGGACCACAGGATCACAAGTCCCGCGTGCTGTCCGCTCGGCCGACCGGCTCCCTCTCTGGAAACTTTCTTTCATCTTTAGGATGAAAGAAACTCTGCCCAATGTTTCTCGTCGGCGCCCGAGATCGAACCCAGGACCACAGGATCAAAAGTCCAGCGTGGTGTCCGCTCAGCCACCGTGTGTGTGTGTGTGTGTGTGTCTGTGTGTGTGTGTGAGAAAGAGAGAGAAAGGGGGGAACTATCAGGAGAATGCGTCAAGCCACCGACTATAATACATGAGAGAGAGAGACAGACAGACAAACCTTGACTGCGGCGCGGACAGTGTTGATATCAGGGAAGACATCTTGACAGGTCTGGAGCCAGTCTTCTGCCTGCTGGTTGACCTGCTCGGTCCTGGCTATGGCAGTGATGACCCTGTGAGCTGTTGTGGGTGTGTCGAGGCTCCCTAATGTGGCGTGCAGGTGCGTCTTCTCTTCCTGTCCTCGTGTGGTCATCTCCGCCACACTGGCGTCCTCCTGGTCCAGGAGCCTCATGGCTGACATGTTCTGCTCTACCAGACCATTGAGTCTATCCTGGAGTTGGAGGTGGTGAGTCTTCCAGTCTCCCAGCTGGCCCCGGTACTCTCCCAGCTGGCACAGTGTCTCCTCACACCTTGCAATGAGTCTGTTGATGCTGATCTTCTCCTCCTGCATCAACGACCACAGCTTCCTGCTGATGCCTCCTGGGGAAGCTTGACAAGGTGTTGGAGGCCCTGAAATAAGCTGAGTACCAATCAGCTTCCTGACAAGAGCCTCAACACAGTAGCTGACAGGAAACTGTGTCGCAGTTGCGGCGCGGAACTTGACACAGCAGTTGGGGCACTTGAGTGTTCCGTAGGTGATCGCGCGTTCGAGACACAGAGAGCAGAAGGTGTGGCCGCAGGGCAGCGTCCGTGGCCGCCTCTCTGCCTCGTCGTAGGTGTCCCAGCACACACCACAGTCCTCAGGGTGGGTGTCCTGTGAAGACAACGTCAACTGTACCTCCAGCATGGTGTCCTGTGAAGACAACATCTACTGTACCTCTGGCTGGGTGTCCTGTGGAGACAACGTCTACTGTACCTCCGGCTGGGTGTCCTGTGGAGACAACGTCTACTGTACCTCCAGCATGGTGTCCTGTGGAGACAACGTCTACTGTACCTCCAGCATGGTGTCCTGTGGAGACAACGTCTACTGTACCTCCGGCTGGGTGTCCTGTGGAGACAACGTCTACTGTACCTCTGGCTGGGTGTCCTGTGGAGACAACGTCTACTGTACCTCCGGCTGGGTGTCCTGTGGAGACAACGTCTACTGTACCTCTGGCTGGGTGTCCTGTGGAGACAACGTCTACTGTACCTCCGGCTGGGTGTCCTGTGGAGACAACGTCTACTGTACCTTCAGCTGGGTGTCCTGTGGAGACAACAGTAGTGAAGTTGAGGACTAGAACCGCGCGCGCCATCTGCCCAGGTGGCTCTATAGAGCCAGCTGGGCAGGTGGCGCGCAGGTGTCTAATCACAAAGGGTTTGGGGGGAATTTTCCCGGAAGTTTTGCGTGTGTCGGACGCGTGTGAGCGTCCGGTGTTTGGGTATGTGGTCAGGAAAGATGGGAGGTCATGTTGTTGGGGGTGTAGGAGAGTATGTGTGGTATGTGGTAGAGTAAGAAATACAAGGATATGAGTGGAATATGTGGAAAGAGTAGTTAAATATGTATGTGTGTTTGCCGTAGACTTAATCCTGTGTGTAGATAATAGTTTTGATGATAGTAAGTAAGCTATGTAGAGGCTGAGTGTAGGTGTGAGGGGTCCCAACATAGGCGGCTATGTTGTTTGGGGTGGGGGAGGGGTGAGGGAAGGGGTGTTGGAAGGGTGAGGGGGCTTCCCCTCGGCGTGAGAGTGCTTAGGGGCCATTTGTGGTTTTGACATCCATTATTTTCTTGGAGCTATGCTCACAGCCGGAAGTGGGAGAGGAGGAGGGTAGGAGAGAGCAGAGTCCAGGAGGAGGGATGTGGACCATTTACCCTTAATCGTTTTTTCAAGTCTATTTTCTTCGAGTTATGCAGCTGTGTTTGGAGATGATCCATGAGGGTAATAGTTCGGCCATACATGGTAGGAAGTGTGGAGGAGAAGGAGGATGAGAAAGAGAGAGCAGTCACTCTTAAGTTGTGAATGAGATGAGGCAACAGTTGGTGGAGAAGGTCTGCTTTATGTAACAATGTATGGGAGTGTATAGGTGACAGTCCTGGACGGATGTGAACCATTACCCACTTACCCTTAAGCGTTTTTCAAAGTCCGCAGAGGGGTGTGTGTACTGCCCACTGGTCAGAGGGTAACTGAAGAGCATTTCCAAGTAGCTGGTTATATCTTCCCCTCCCAGAGGGTACGCAATGACTGCCATTACTTCCTCAGACACGGGCGGAAGTGGCCGGGTATCCATTACCCACTGCATTTCGTTAAGGAAAGGGAAGTTATGACTGTTTTAGCAGTCTATCTGATAGAAAAAAACAGAGACTAGTGTTAGCATAATAGTTGAAAAATAGTTGATCTTTCTCTTATTACGTTTTATTCAATAACTGGTAGACATAACATAAGACACATATTTATCTTGATAAAACATAATAACTGACAGACATAACACTCAGCATAATGCAGTTACATGACTACTAGATATCAGCAGAGTTTCAAAAGTTTTTTTTTAGCTTTAGGCTTAGATTTTAGATTTTTTTTAGGTTTTTCTATAGTCAGACGATTATCACTTCGTTTAATCTGTCGTTTGGGTGGGGAAGGTGCTATTATTTCACGCTCAACCTCGGTATCACTGTCACTGTCACTGTCACTGTCACTGGTGGTATCAATATAGCTGGATCTATTAAGATCGTCCCCAACTCGTATCCTTCGCAGTGGGGTAAAGTTTTCGTCATCACTGCTTATTATCACCGTCTGAGACATGGTGTTACACTCATCACGACCTCTAGCCCGAGATGTGGCTTTGTGTGAACTTAGTTTAGAGTTGTGGGTTGTGGACGAGCAGGAGGGGTGTGAGCTGGGTTCAGGGTCAAGGTTTGTAAACGTGCCTTGGAGTGAACTAAGTTGGGGGTTGAAGAAAAGATTCATATCAATGTCTGTAAGCAATCCCCGTTGCTGGCTGTCTGTAAGCATTATACGCTCATCCAGTAAGGCTTCTACATTCAAATCATTTTCGGTCTGAGTAGCGGGGTTATCCTCTGAGAGAGAAATAGCGGCAAACACCGCATCATCAAGACCTTCACTCATAGTCAAGAGATCTGGATACTCACCCCCCTGTGAAATATCCACACTCATTCTTACAACTTCTTCTTCAGTCCTATTATTGCTAGTAGTACTACTAGTAGTAGTGTCACTACCTACTGTACACCCCCCAGTTAAAAGGCTGGGGGACAGCACCTCTTCAACGGTATTCATAAAATGTAATGAGTTATTCCCCCTCTGATCAGCAGTCGGACCAGCGAGTACACAATGAGGGATGGTGTTACTACTACTTCTATCACCACGATCTCCATCAGCAGGAGCAGTAGCGGGTGTGTGGTAGTGGTGTGTGTAGGGAGACAAGCACGTGCGGTGCGTGTGGCACCAGCGGGGGTGACACCAGCCGCGCCATGGTCGCTACGGTCACCAGCACCAACGTGGGAGGGGGGGCTATCACCGTAGTCGACTGGAGTAGGGGGGGGAGGACACAACCACCTCCCCGGTGTTTGTGTGTATGTGTGTGGTTCCCAAGAATATGAAAATATTCCCTCTGGAGGTGGTTCTGCTGGTGGTGCTGCTGCTGCTGCTCACACCGCGGCTACTAGCTTTCTCCAGGTTAATCTAAAAAAAAGTTTACATTACTAGCATAACACACACACACTCACTCTTCCCATTATTGTTATTATTTGTTACATCAACATTAGTAAACAACAACAAGAAGCATCTTAGCACAATATAACTCGACTTAAGGGAAACATACCACGTATTATTGCTAGGGCTTGACCTAAGCGCTCATCGCCATCTGAGTGAGGAGGAGAGGCTACACCGGCAGCAGAGGCTCGTGCGGGCGGTCATCTTGGATTGGTGGGTGGGTGGGTGGATGAGTGTTTACCCTACCAGGTCAGGGGCGAGCTATATACCCCCTTTCAAGAGGGTGCCTCCTTACCACACACCTCCACCTCCCACAGCGTTAATAATAATAATAATAAAAATAATTAATAAGGATAATATAAAAGAATCAACTTTAGATTTGTTTATTAAGAGATAATAGGAAGAAGTAGATGTACTACATCTCATCGACATACAGGACATTTGTCACATTAAGACAATAATAATAATAATAATAATAATAATAATAATAATAATAATAATAATAATAATAATAATAATAATAATAATAATAATTATAATAATAATAATAATAATAATAATATTATTATTATCTTCCACTACTCACCACAAGAGAAAAAGCCAGCACGGGACAATTCTGCTGGAGACTGACCACACATATCAGGCCAGATGATTCCAAATGATGCCAAACGAGTCTTATACCCCGCCATCTCCGGGTATATGGGCATAGAGAATGGTAGAATTCCCGAGTTTTCCCCGCTCCATTCCACAGCACCTACAATTATTAAAACAAATAATAATAATAATAATATATATATATATATATATATATATTTATATATATATATATATATATATATATATATATATATATATATATATATATATATATATATATATATATATATATATACGCTCACCATTCCTATAAACGCAATTCACAATGACTATACAACCAACGTTATTCACAGAGACTATGAGATAACACATAATTGAGATGGGTACTTACAACTGTTAGCTGAATTTCCCACCCTTTTCAGTTGCAGGACGGAATAGGTGAAATTCAATCCATAGGCGTAGACCATGTTGCTTAGCGCAATGCTGACATTTTCAGTGCGTTTACCACTGATGAAAGGACAGTGTGGTGCTGCAGCTACATGTCGACTGCGAGGGGTGTCCTCCCCCTCCACCCACCCTCCAATTAACGTATAACAGAAACTGCATATGCAGTAATCCACGGATTTGGTGAAGTAGAATCCGTCACTGGCTAAATCCTGGGGCAAAAACCAGTCAAGACGCCATCCCACAAAAGTGTTTAGCCTCATCTGCTCACAACGCAATCGTTCCATGCTGCGGAAAGTTTTGGTGCGAAAGACGTCCATGCTTGGTCGAACACTCAAAATTGTGGTAAAGGTTTGACCGTTCCCGGCCTATTTATCCTCGAGAATGGGGTGACGCATTTCGCTACATATTCATTGAGAAATCTATGTATTAGCTTAAAGGTAAACCAAACTAGTTTAAGCAATGCTGGTAGGAAAGATGAAATAGTCAGCTCTGCGTGGATTTGAAACAAAAATAAAAAATCTAATCTGTTCTATCCAGTAGTGGATTAAAGTTTACACTCACTCTAAACACTCGCCCAGGGAGAGTAGTTTTTGTTGGAGATAAATATGATATATATATATATATATATATATATATATATATATATATATATATATATATATATATATATATATATATATATATATATATATATATATATATATATATATATATGTCTTTCCTGTAGACATATATTATACCTCCAACAGTGAAAAGAAATGTACGAAAGATTGAGAAAATTCGTGTTAGAATTATTAATCTTACTTTTTCGGTCATATTTAATAATATATATATATATATATATATATATATATATATATATATATATATATATATATATATATATATATATATATATATATATATATATATATATATATATATCTATATATCTAAGAACATAAGAACAAAGGCAACTGCAGAAGGCCTATTGGCCCATGCGAGGCAGCTCCTATACTCTATATATATATATATATATATATATATATATATATATATATATATATATATATATATATATATATATATATATATATGTCGTACCTAGTAGCCAGAACGCACTTCACGGCCTACTATTCAAGGCCCGATTTGCCTAATAAGCCAAGTTTTGCTGAATTAATATATTTTCTCTATTTTTTTTCTTATGAAATGATAAAGCTACCCATTTCATTATGTATGAGGTCAATTTTTTTTTTATTGAAGTTAAAATTATCGAAGATATCGAACCGAACCTAACCAACCCTACCTAACCTAACCTAACCTATCTTTATTGGTTAGGTTGGGTTAGGTAGCCGAAAAAGTTGGGTTAGGTTAGGTTAGGTAGGTTAGGTTGTCGAAAAACAATTATTTCACGAAAACTTGGCTTATTAGGCAAATCGGGCCTTGCATAGTAGGCTGAGAAGTGTGTTCTGGCTACTAGGTACGACATATATAT